CATGGCTTGACTGCGAATATAGTCTTGGCATGCATGATGTGAAACAAACCTTATTATATAGAGTTAAACTTCAACTACTTACCAGCGTCGCTTATTTTCACTTCGTCTCTTATGGTAAGATCGACAAATTAGGCATGAATCGACTTGCATGCTTTGGCACGGCATGGAATGGCTTGCTTGCTTACTTAAGTTACTGAAACTAATCCCAATCCCAAGATCCTGATCCCTATCCCACACTAACCCTAACCCTAATCCTAACCCTAATCCTACTACTACTACTACTACTACTACTACTACTACTACTACTACTACTACTACTACTACTACTACTACTACTACTACTACTACTACTACTACTACTATGTCCTACTACTAAAATACTTGGCATGACTTGACTTGCTTTTGGTATAGCATGACTTGTTTGCTGCTACTACTACTACTACTACTGCTACTACTACTACTACTACTACTACTACTACTACTACTACTACTACTACTACTACTACTACTAGTGTTACGAATATTATAGTTTTAATTCTAATTCTAGTACTAATTGCAATGCATGGCATGACAGCATGTGCAACACAAATCAAAACATGGCATGGCACAGCAGCTGTTGCGATGCACTTGCAAATGCAGGCAGGCAATATTCTTGCAGCAACATTTTCAGCAAGCTCATCCAATGCCGTCTTGCAATTGACGAGACTTCTTTGCAAAATGGTGTGGCCCCATATCCTCAGCATCCCACTCCCGGGTGTCCATTTCATCCATGGGAACCTTTGCAGCCTTGCTTTCCTTTGCTTCCTTCTTCTCCTTCTTCTTGCTCTTTTTGTTGCTTGTTGCTGGCACTGCATGCTCTTCCTCTTTGGGTTGCTTTTGCTTCTTGTTCTTCTTTTGATTCTCATGAACATGCCCTTCGTATACCCATGCACCGTCACGATCTACAGATCCCCGAGCCGCCCGAGGATGCCGATCGAGGGGCTGACTTTTCTCGGATCCTCCAAGGAGGTGTCAGCTTCGAAGCACCTTTGCACAGCTTCGGCCTAGGTGGCAATATGCCGATGAGCTCAGAATGTGCATGCAGCTATGCACAATTGGTGTCTAGAGGCTCCTTTTTTGGCGAATCGGAGGTAAGGCAAAACTTAGCCTCCTCATAGGACAGCTTTGCTGTCTTCATTAAGGCTGTGATTTCTTTCTCCATCATGATGGGCTACCTAGCTACTTAAAGCCTGCAGCCAAAAACCTACAACAACAACAACAACAACAACAACAGCAAGACATGCCAAGCTCAACACATGGTGCATGCATGACATGCTAGAAGCAAGCAGCACGTGGCTTTTGTACACGAGGCAGAGTAGATTTTAGGGGTTTAGGGTTTATATGTAGGGTTTACAATTTCATATCAAGTTATATAGTAAGGGCTCATACAATATAGAGAGGATATAATGGACAGTCCAATATATTCTGGCGCAATACTCAGATAAGTGGGCTACACAGCCGATTGTAAGGGAAAATGAAGAGCGTATGGTGCATTTCCGCGCATTACTCAGAATTACTCAGAAAGGGCGATTTGTATGAATTTACCGGTCATTTGTAGGAATTTACCGGTCATTTGTATGAATTTACCGGTCATTTGTATGGGGGCGGGTTCGGGGAATTTAGGGTGCGTATTGCGGGGAATGCGGGGTGGGCTAAAAAATTTTTTGTCAGGCCCCCTGCACCACCGATTGATCAGCTTGATGATACCACCTGGGTTCGAAAGCAAACAAGCATGGCAACATCCAAACATGATGGCATTCACAACATGATCTGAAGCAAGACCATCCCGGCTTCGACCTGGGCGGCCGTTCTTAATTAAGGCATCAACAAAGCCCAAATTGATTATATACTCATGTACTATATCCACTCTATCATATAGGTCTTCTGTATTATACAGATTTTTACCTATTGCTACTATGTAGGTATGTACATACTTAAAGCATGACGAGGCATGGCATGGCATGGCTTGGCTTGTTTGCTTTCGATCCCAAGTGATATCATCAAGCTGATCAATTGGTGGTGATCAATTGGTGGTGCAGGGGGCCTGACCCTATGCCGTAGATGGCTCTTTTTAGCCCCCCCGCATTCCCCGCAATACGCACCGCAAATTCCCCGAACCCGCCCCAATACAAATGCACGGTAAATTCCTACAAACGCACGGTAAATTCTTACAAACGCCGGGTAAATTCCTACAAACGCCCGGTAAATTCATACAAATCGCCCTTTCTGAGTAATTCTGAGTAATGCGCGGAAATGCACCATACGCTCTTCATTTTCCCTTACAATCGGCTGTGTAGCCCACTTATCTGAGTATTGCGCCAGAATATATTGGACTGTCCATTATATCCTCTCTATATTGTACGAGCCCTTACTATATAACTTGATATGAAATTGTAAACCCTACATATAAACCCTAAACCCCTAAACCCTAATTGGACTGTCCATTATCCTCTCTATATTGTATGAGCCCTTACAATATAAGTTGATATGAAATTATAAACCCTACATATAAACCCTAAACCCCTAAACCCTAATAACCCTAAAATCGCGATCGTCGCCATATACGGAGTGAGCCTGCCTCGAGCTGGGACATGGCTCTGCCCAGCACAGCTTTGCGCCCAGCGTGAAACCGTGCAAAGCATCTATCCATTGCCTGTCACACACGAACAAACTTGCTAACAAATTTCAAGCCATGCCACTCAATTCAAGCCATGCCAATCACTTCACGCCATGCCAAGCAAGTCAAACCATGTCAAAAATACATAGTAGTACTAGTAGTACTAGTAGTAGTAGTAGTAGTAGTAGTAGTAGTAGTAGTAGTAGTAGTAGTAGTAGTAGTAGTAGTAGTAGTAGTAGTAGAAGTAGTAGTAGTACTAGTAGTAGTAGTAGTAGTAGTAGTAGTAGTAGTAGTAGTAGTAGTAGTAGTAGTAGTAGTAGTAGTAGTACTAGTACTAGTAGCAGTAGTAGTAGTAGTAGTAGTAGCAGTAGCATAGTAGTAGTAGTAGTAGCAGCAGCAAGCAAGTCATGCCATGCCAAAGCAAGTCAAGTCATGCCAAATATGTATACTATTACCTATATATATATATATCATGATGGAAAATAACAGATATTTCGTTCTTTCACAATATATATATATATATATGTATATATGTATGTATATATATATATGTATATATATGTATATATATATATATGTATATATATATATATATGTATACATATCATATCATATCATATCATATCATATCATATCATATCATATCATATCATGATGGAAAATAACAGACATTTCGTTCTTTCACAATATAAGTATAAATATAAATATAAATATAAATATATATATATATATATATATATATATGTATATATATATATATATATCATACCATATCATCAGGGAAAATAACAGACATTTCGTTCTTTCACAATCCGTGACTTGTCAATAGGGAAAATAAAGTGCATTTCAAATCCTCATAATTATGTTAGGTCGTACTAGAGGAAATTAAGAAACATTCAGCGCCGCACATTTTCACTAGTTACCTTTCGGGGAATTATAAGAGACATTTCGTCCTCTAGGTAGTGCCATCGAAAACTACCGAGGGTTGCTCAAGCAGGACGAGGTCAAGCTCCGGACGTTTGTGAAGAACCGCGCCGATGCTCAAATGGAGTGGGAGCGACGGCCTCCGCCGGTGGACCGGGTGGCTCAAGCGTGGCATCCGGCTCAGGCGGTTGAGCAGCAGGCGGAACCCTGGATCCAGCAGTGGGGCCGTGTTTCTCCGCCTCCTTCTGATCAGGTGGACACGGTGCTGGCTGAGGTCCCTCGACCGACACCATGTGGCGATATTTGTTTTCGGTTCTCGGCTCGGAATCTCCGTGCCGCGACTGCTCACATGAAAGGCAAGGCCAGTGGGGCATAGTGGGGCTGACGATTGGCGACCCGACCATCTGCTTCTCCTTCCGGAGGCGTGGTGGACATGTGCTGCTGCCCTCTGGCAGCGCATCTACGAGTGCCGACGGGTTCCCACTCAATGGCGACGCTCCAAGGTGGTTCTACTTTGGAAACCTTCGGGTGGGACGAGACCCATTGACCCATCTCGCTGCTTCCTACTTTGTGGAGGGCTGGCTCACGTGTTCTCCAACGACAACTTCGGCCATGGCTGGCTACGTGGACGTCTCATTGTACGTCGGGGTTGCCTGCATGGGACTTCGGTCTTCGGCGTCTTGGCTCAACTGAGGGCGGCTCTCTTGCGTGGCAGCAGGACTCTGGTGCAGCTCGATGTTTCGGCGTACTCTGACTCTGTGACTCTCCCCAACTTGCGGCGGGTGCTTCAGCACCTTCGGGCCCCTGCCGGGCTCGTTGAGCTTCTCGAGCATTTCTATCAGGACGCGGAGCGCATCTTCTGTTTGCAGGGCGCCTATTCCGACCGGTGGCGGCCGGCGAGAACGGGCATTGCTCAGGGGTGTCCTCTTAGCCCTTTGTTGGCTGGCACATTCACCTACTTGTGGGCCTGTTTTGCCTTCCAACATACCTTACGTGCACAGGTTGGTGGCTGCGGCTATGTTGACGACCGTACTCTGTGGTTGGAGGCGGGTGCTCCGGTGGCTTCGTTGCAACATGCGCTTCGGCGCACCGCTTTCTTTGACGCCGCCTTTGGCTTTCGGCTTAGCCTTAAGAAGTGTGCTGTGACCACGGTGGACCCCGAGGAGGCGGTTCGCACCCTGGTTAGGTCATTCGGCTTCCAACTAACGGATACGGCCGAGGTGCTGGGCGTGGTGGTTGCCTTTGACCAGGAGTGGCTTCTTTCTAAGTGGTGACTGAGGAAAGCTCAACTCCGCCTTCAACACCTCAGCTGGCCTGGTAGTTGCCAACGGCTTCAACAGCGATTGGTCAACAGCTTGGTTGTGCCTTGTTACTCCTGGGCTGCTCCCTTCGCGGCTCCGGCAAGGACCTTCGCAATGCTATGGTGGCGTGTTGGCAACGGCATTTCAAGCGTGATGCTGCCCGGGCCCTGATTGCCGAGCACTCGGGCTGGAGTTGCGATCCTTTCTTTGCTATGGACGTCGCTGTCCTCCGCCACTTGTGGAGGGTCCTGACTCGGGCTCCGTTATGGTTGGACACCGTGCCCATCGCGCAGGCTTTCCCCGACTGGACGCTGGTGCTTCCTCGTCTCGGGCCGCTGCTGGAGCGACTTGGCTGGACCCTCAACCGTGATGGCCCTCGCCTTTGCTGGTCGGACGATGATGGAGCTCAGCGTGCTTTTAAGGTGGGCTTTGACGGCTTTAAGCAGGTGGAGGCCCTTTTGCGACAGCACCACCGAGATCTTCGGGTCTACGAGGCTGGCCGTGTTTGCCGGAGTTTTCATCGTGATGGCGATGGCCTGGCGACTGGGTTAGACCTTCCTCCTCCTGCGGCCAACCGCCACTTCTTCTTTGAAGGCCACCGGCAGTTGTTCGGGGCGGGGTCTCGGTTTGTTCGGTACGCTGCTTCCGCTTCTGCTGGGCAAGTGTGGTTTCTTAACAAGGGAGCGAACTACGCCGCGGAACATCCTCGACGTCGGTGTATGTGTGGCGGCAAGGATCCTTCCCGACCTCACCTTGTTTGGATTTGTGAACATACTGCGGAGGGCCGCCAAAATTTGGCCCTTCCTACTGACAGGACTCAGGAGCGCCTTTTCGCCAGAGGTGCTGACAGCTGGCCTCGTGCGCCGGTTGCCCTTGACTTCGAGGACCTGGTTCGGGAGTTCTTCGACACTTTGGAGGGCCTGCAGGACTCTCCGGTGATCTACCTGGCGACGGACGGCTCCTCCAGACAGGTCGTTGGGGCCTACTCTGTGGTCTCCTTCCCGAGGGAGGCCGCCGTTGCTACTGGGAATGACGACGAAGACCAAGAGTCCTTCAAGCAGGAGTTGCTCGCATTACGGCTGGCTGCCATGGGCGCTCAGCATCTGGTGTGCACTCTTGGATGGCGTGGCTTGGTCGTCCTGGTGTGCGACTGCCAGGCGGCTCTGGGCGTGGTGGGCGCTCACACCGAGGACTCCTTTTGCGAGCTGCCTCTTCTTGCTAAGGAGGTTCGTAGCCGCCTTGCTTCGGTCGACAACGTGGGCCACCACCTTCGACGTGTTTGGGTTCCAGCTCACGGGCGACGGCCTCACTGGGAGGCTCCGAGTGGCCTCTCTACCGATCTGCTCCGGTCGCTCAACGATCGCGCGGACGAGACGGCTAGAGCATGCATGTCTCGACGGCTTCGGGGCTCTGCTCGCCAGGCTTGGTGGCGGACTCTGGAAAGCAACTCTGAGTGGGAGCAGGTCGCCATTTTGGCGGCTGCCGCGGCTGCGCACAAGCTCCAGCTCCACTTCGAAGCCGCGGACTCTTTGGTCGGCGAGGCGGCTGCTGGGGTGAACGTGGTCTGACTCCGCATGTCGTGCTCTTCTGACTGTTGGTTTTGTTAGTTTCAGGGGTTTGTTCGACGGTTTGTCGGCCCCTTAGTTCTGATATGCCGCTTCTCACTACAGGTGTTGTGGCATGTTTGTGATTGCGCTTGTGGCTGGGCCACCGCGATCTTTCTCTTCCGCATGGGTCCGTGGTTTTACCACCTCAAGCGGTTTCTTCAAGGCGCCTGTGTCAGTGGCTTTGCCATCGCAGGCACTTTGGCAGCCTCTTTGCACCGCTGCTTTATGTTTCGATGGCTGAAGCTCCTTTAACCTTGCTTAGCAATGTGGGAGCCAGCCTGATTTGCACCTTTCTTTTGAGCTGGGTGCAAGTGTTGAGTTGTTTAGCATCTTCAGCGAACTTTTCGAAGTCGCGAAGCACCAGACCACAGATCCAACAACGAGGATTGCTGCAAATGCCAAGACACAAAGATCTGGATTTGATGCACATCTCACCGCGGATACTATACATCACTCCTTTCGTCACAAAATTGGCACTGCCCCAAGCGCCCACACATCTACACACCGAATCTCAGCAAATGCTCCACAAGCAGCTTATCCCTAAAGATACGACCAGTGTTTCTTAGCACATCCTGCTTTGCGGCTCCTGGCATAGCACATGAAGTGCCTTCCGTCGTAGTTGATCACGTCTTCTTGCCTCACGCAGTCTCATTTCTCTATCGGAACGTGCACTGGGCAACTGGGCTCCAGTAGGGCTTGCAATGAATCACTGACGACAAGCCTCAAGTGCAAGTTCCGCCATGCTGCTAGCTTGGACTCTCTGCGACTGCTGGCGCCGGAGCTCATCTGCGGTACACTACGAGCACTTGTGCTGCGCAGCTCAGCGTCATCGGCCCTCTGCTGTTTTCTGTCTGGGGCTCTTCAACCTATTACGGCGACTGTCCACCAGCAGATACGGTGCAATGGTGTAGAGAAGATGCTCCAGAATCACTGTTTCTGAGTATTGAAAACAAGTACTGATCCGAGTTCGATGCCTTCAGAGTGCAAGCTCGGGTTAGATCCCTTCGGTCAAAACATGCAAAAAGTTGCCTGGCTGGTACAAGAATGAGCGAGTTCTGGGAGCAGCCCCCCATCACAAAATTGGGTCAAATCTGCGCCGGCTGTCAGCGTGCACAGCCCGTGCGGCTCTTCAGCCTGGTACGGCGACTGTCCGCAACGGGTCAGACCGTCCCGCGCCTTTGGCGAAACACCGGGTACTCAAATTGGGGTCCCTAAGTTCAGCACTGCAAAGCTCCACGCTTCTCTCATCGGTGACCTTTGCCTTTTTTGCCCTCACCGAAGATTGATGCTCGATGTTGCAAGGCGTAAGCATCATCACATAGCCCGGACTATGCCTGTTGCTACGCTTCCCTGGCGACTGCCACTCCGATTCTTCTGAAACTTGAAGCAGTTTTTGATTCTGCCATCCGACGCATGGCCAAATGGTGATACCGCCACGTGAGCCCTCAGGTGATTGTGAACCGCCTACCGCGAAAAGTTCGGAGTTCATCGCCTCGGTGAAGACTTCTGGGAAATGCTCGAAGTACTTGGCATAGCTGTCGTCAGCTCCGAATCTGCATTTTCCGAAGTGGGCCGTTTTGGGATCGGGTTTCCCTGGATTGCTCAGGGTGTAGAGTCGAAATCGCTCCCATCCAGATGTTTTCTTGTACCCGTGGCAAAATTGATTCCGGAGCAAGTCAGACACTATGGGGCCGGAATCCTTCAAGACTTTGTTGTGGATGTGGAGTTGGTCCTGGTTTCGCCTGCAAACAGGGTTGGCCAGCAACGCACAGCCAATATCGAGGCCTTGACCCCAACATCCTGTGCCGGCCATGGCAGCCTTCCAGATCCAGTCCCATTCTTCGGGCTTTTTCCATCCCTTCTGAACCTCTTCTGTGCCAGAGAACGCTACAGCTGGATCTGTGAGATATCCGTAAAACAGCTTGCAGTATGGACGCCAAATATTTTTAGATAGTTGGAACCATTGGGTGTTGTCTTGCCCCTGTCCTTCCGGTTGTGGTCCTCGCACACAGGCCGTGGGCATCTTCAAGTTCGCGATCGAGGCCTTCCTCTCTTCCAAGTCCGTGGCGCAGCAGCGGATCGAGGAGTACAACGAGGATGCCCGGGTCCCGGCCCCCGCCGGAAAGGGGGGTGGGCGGCTAGCTTTGGCTTTGGCACAGAAATTCTGAGGTTTTGGATGCCGTGCTGTCGAAGGACAGCATTCTGCGGCAAGATCTGAAGGGATATTGTGAATCTCTCTCTCTCTCTCTCTCCCCCAGGACACCGCCACGGTGGTGGTGCCGCCAACAGCGGCCCCTAGGGGCCCGGCCTCTCGCGCCTCGGCCGCCTCGGCTCCCAAACGGGAAAGCTGAGACGAAAGCAGAGAGAGCTCAGTCGGAGCAAAAGAGGCCGCCGAGCGCTGAGTCTCGCAGAGCCTACGTTGCAAACGTCTTTTGGGGGACCAGACAGAGCTCGCAAGCAAAGGCGCAAAGACGCAGGTCTACTTGGGAGAAGGGGCAGAGCATGCGCCATGCGTTTGCAACAGTCGACGCACGAGTCAGTCGACCTCTATAACACTTTCCATGACTAGTCAGACTCGGGGAACCTGGGCGGCTGATGGCCAAATGGCGGAGCATTCTGTGGTAGCAGCTGGCACCTGGCAGGCTCTTGCTTCTGCCTGGTGATCCGAGCCGAGCCAGCCGAGCCTTCGTGCATAGACGCACGTGGCGCGGGTCTCAGCCGCTGTCTCCGCCAGTGCTCCTTCCGTGCTTTCTGCCTTGAAGCGTGAAGGCTCACTTCTGCGCTCGAAGGACTGACACAGTTGTGACCCGCGCAAAAGGCGAGGGAGCGTTTCAAGCGAGGAGAGCCGAGTTTTGTGACGACAGCACTCGCCAGCGCCCCCAGCCTCAGATGACCTGTGAGCATCCAGTCAGGGCTACACGAGCCGGATTGGGTCTAGAGAGAAGCCCGCGCTTTTCAGGCTGGATCTGACCTGCTACGCCGTGCGCCCGACAGGGAGAGCTGAGCTGAAGGCAGACGGGCTCTCACGCGGGGTTTAGGCTTTAGGACGTTGAACCCTCAGCAAGTGCGATAGCTCAAAGCTCCGAGGCCGTGGCTCCTGCTGCCGTCCTGGCACGTGTCGGACTTCCCCTCGGCTGCTGCTGTCGGCCTTCTTTTCTTCTTCCGTTGCTTCGTGCTCTGTGCCGCCTCTTCAATAGCGCTGGCTCGTGGATCAGGATCAATGCCATCGGTGAGAACTGCGACGGAAGCTTTGCGATGCCATGGCCCGCGATTTGGCGGCTCGCCTTATCGGAGCTGGCGGTGCGCAAATGAGTGACAGCTTCGTAAAGCCTCGCAAGTTGACACGTTGCAAGGCATTGTCGCCGTGGAAGTCCGTCACATGCCCCATGCTTGGAAGGCCTGTTGATTTTGCTCTTGCACGTTTGCAGTGTTCCCCATGATTTTGAAAGGCAGTTCTTCCTGGCGGCGTTGGCTCAGATTTCAGGTGATTTAGCTGAGCGTCGCGCGCTTTACACCCTGCGTTTTCAGCACGGAAAAATGCGGGCGATCGTGTTCGTCGTGTTCGTGGTCGGCTTCATGGGCCTGGGCTGTTGTGCGCAGCAGCCATGTGATGGGCCGGGCTGCGAGGCCACGTCCCTGCTTACCGCCAAAACCCGACCGACGCCGCAGCAGCCCATCTCGGTTGACTTGATGAACGAGACGAACGCCAGCAGTGACCCACAGCATGACGGGTCCGATTTGGGCAAGAGCCTCGGGTTCATCCTGCGGAAGCTGGTGCAGCTTGAGACGGTCGTGGAGTTGCAGCAGGCGAAGATCACGACGTTGGAAGCGAAGGTGCTGCCGGAAGGATTGCAGCAGACTGAGCTGCAGACACATGAAGAGGCCAAGAATGTCTTCCACAGGGTCTTCTGGAAGCACCGCCGAGAACACTCGCGGCACGTGGATGCTTTGACTCAGACAGAAGACCTAGCGTTGCGACTGCAAAAGGGATCATCAGATGGTGATGCGGCTGATTCGGCCGGCATCATTCCTGGCTTGGGTTCGACAGACTGGGGGAACCCGATGGCTAACGAATTCGAAAGGATGATGCGGCAGCTTTACAATAATTTTGTGGCCAAGGCGGCTGAGGAACTTGGCAAACTCGTTCAAAAAACCTGGGACGGCTTGGAGGAGCTCCAGGGAAAGATTGACCAAGGGATTCGCGGGCTCCAGGACAAGTGGAACGAGCTCAAGAACGAGGTCGAGGACAAGTGGAACGAGGCCAAGAACGAGGTCGAGGACAAGTGGAACGAGGCCAAGAACGAGGTCGAGGACACGTGGAACGAGGCCAAGAACGAGGTCGAGGACACGTGGAACGAGGCCAAGAACGAGGTCGAGGACAAGTGGAACGAGGCCAAGAACGCCATCGAGGACAAGGCCACGGAGGCCTGGAACGAGCTCGAAACCCACGCCAAGGGTTTGTGGAACACAACAACAGGGTTTGCCGGGAAGGCGTTGGAGCCGTTTAAAAAATTTGTGGACTTCTTCCTCAAGTTGCCGAAGATCGCAGAAGCCCTCATCAAGGGCTTCGATGAGCTGGGGGCTGGAGGCTCTGAGGAGCAGATGAGCAAGAGTGTGCTGCTGCAGGAAGTGGCCAAAACTGCCAAAACGGAAAGCCCAGCTGTGGGCAAGGAGCCTCGGCTGATGTTCAGCAACGGCCGAAGCAGCGTGCACGTTTTTCAACGGCTCCGTGAGCCCGAAGCCCTGCAGCGGAAGCCGAAGCAGAAAGAAGCAGGGACAGCCTTGCTTGAGGCTCAGGCTCGGGCTGCTCAGGCCTTCCCAGATTTCCAGAGATCCACCGAAAAAGGCAGTGAGGGACTGCTGACTGCAGATTTGTCAGAGGGCCCTTTCGTCGAGGAGAACTTGCTCACGCAGTTTGACGGCAGGGAGTACAACACCAAGTCCTGCTTGGCCTTCGCTCCGCAAGGAGGGGAGACTCGCACACTCACACAAGCAGACTGGCAAGTGCCTGGGGATGCCAAAGGCAAGCAGGAGTTCATCAAACTGGAGCCTTTCGCGGTCCCTTGTGAGAACAAGTGGATGTATGAAAACCGTGACGCATGGGAGGGCTTCAGCTTCTACCGGAAGACCACTGCGATCGAGAAGTGCGTCCAGGTGTCGCTAAGCTTCTCCATCCAGCCCGTACTCGCTCTCGTTGCTGGCCTCGAAATCGACTTCATTCCTGCGCCCCTCGTGGATCTGCAGGCGGTGATTTGTTGGCCAGATAAGGTCTATGACTACTCGATGAGAACACCCATCAGCTCCATCACCTCCAAGATCTTCGTCATGCGTATGCCAGTACTCCAGCACACCTTCCGATTGACAAAACGCTTCATGGTCGACAAGAAAGGACCACTCCCCGACTACTCGAATGATTACAATCATGGCCTTAGCGTCTCCCTCACGCGGGAGCTGGGTTTTCAGACCTTCGGCTGGGACAGCATTGATGGCCTAGAGTCCTTCGGCGCACCTCCTTGCTGGAATCGGCATCCTCCGAATCTGGAAGAAACTCTTCCTTCGGAGAGCGGCCTGAGCAGCATGAGCAAAAGCGGGAGCCGATCTCACAGTTGTTCGGGGAGACGGAGCACTTCGAGCTGAAGTCCTACGTTCATGAGTCCGGCGGCTTCCGGCAGGGAGGCTCCTGGCGAGGCCGTGATGCTGCCGCGCGACTGCGAGGGGCCATGCGCCAACCCAAACGGAAGTCGGAAAGCCGGAGGAACCTAAACCCCCAGCATGCGAATGCAAGCCACAGCCTCGCGGAGTCGGAGTCTTCCACTTTGTGGAACTTGGGGGTGACACTTTCAGGCGCTTGGGAGCGCTGCGCTTGTGAAGCCGTGGGCCATGGGAGCAACCCTGACTGCACGCTCTCCACCACCTGCGCCTGCGACGGCGTGGTCCGATTCGGCTTTGGCAGCTCCGAGAGAATGCTAATGCTTGTATCGTTTTCCTGAGGTCAAGGAAGCCCAGCTATCTGCGTAGTGGGGTAGTGCTCTGAACTACCGAAGGAGACCGAGTTTCTAGGGCTTCTTTGCTTTGGGGTGCAGTTGTGCTGTTGTCCGAACCTTACGTGCAAGGCGACAAGTGGGTCACGCAGACGGTCAGCGGAAGCATCGAGTGCCGCAGTGCAGACTTCCCGGAGGACCCTTACCACAATCAGGCCAAGGAATGCCAGTGCTTCAAGGAGAGCGAGAATGAGGCGGAGGCGGTGGTTTTGTGGGAGTTCGATACCAACAACCTTGAGGCTTTTAAGGAGGGGGAAGTCACGGACGTTTTCAGATTCAAGATTGAGGTCTTGATGGAGGCTGGGTGGTTGAAGCTAGGGCTGCAACTACTGCTGGGGCCCGCGAATACCGAAAACATCAAGATTCCGCTCATACCCATCCAGCAGAGCATCCTCGGATTCTTGCAGGTTTTGGGGATGGAGCGGGACATGGCACAGACGGCCGCCGAAATGGTTTTCGCTGACACGGCGAAGATTCAAGAGGCTCAGACTGGTGCATTGGGCCGACTCTTTATGGAGGAACCGGGTTCAGTTTGTCCGGACAGCACCTCGATTGGAACAGAGCTTGACTGTGCCGGTGCCGCTTCTGTTCTGGGCTACAACTATTCCTGGACGGTCCACTGGCGCACGCATCCTCCGGGTTGCAATGCCAACACAGAGGGCCTGGCCTACTTCAACAACGCACCTACGCCATCGAGTCCTCGTGGACGCCGTGATGCCATGCCAATTTGTTACAAACCCTACAAGATGAATGGCCCCAACACACTGTGCGAAGCCAGAATCGAGAGCCGGGCGGAGTGTGAGCTTGCTGCTTCAACGTTCAGGTATCCATTCAACTCCCACATCGCTTCCGGGGACAAGCCTTTCGGTTGCTTTCGAGACTTAGAAACAGCTGAAGTCTACTTCAACGATCTGCTCGGCGACAGAAAGAGCAAGTCGGCGAGCCCAATCTGCCACAGTCCCAGCCTGGCGCGGGAGGTGCAGTTCTGGCATGGATTGTGGAGGTCCTGGCATTGCCCGAGTGGTTTCAAAGGGATCACTACCGCAACAGAATGCCAAGCGGCTGTTTCGGCAGCTCCAGCGCCGAAAGGTGTACGTTTTAGGTTCCGCAGCAAACTCCCATCGCCCTCCCACGGTGTTCCCCGCGGCTGTTCCTGCAGCTGGTCTGGTCAATGTTACTTCAACCCAAACGGCGGCTCCGGGAAGGATGTCGTGGGCATTCCCATGTGCGTGCCAGGCCATGACAAATACTTGCTTGTTGCACCTCTTGTTCCGTGTCCGAGCGGGTGGAAGAAGATTGCAACTCCGGAGGAGTGCAAACAGGCCCGAATGTCTTTGAGCATGGAAGCAGACTTCAAGCAGAACAAACCAGGGAAGGAAGGCTGCTATGACACGGATGAACAAGAGCTTTGCTCCTGGTCCGACGAGTCCAACTTGGCAGAAAAGCTCACATGCCCCTCCAGCCATTCCTCCAGCTGCGGTTCCTTGTGCCTTCCGAGCTCCACGGAAGCGGGAGTGTGTCGCAGTGCAGACTATGAACTTACGCCGTGTGACACTGCTGATCCAGCCGGCGGCAGTTGCACGTGTGTGGGTGGCAAAGCTTGGCCGCCGAAGAGCAAGGTCTTGCCACCTTTCGGGGCGAAGGTGTCCGAAGGTTTTCCCACCGCCCAAAAATCATGTGACGCCAACGCGGACTGCGTGGGCTTCCTGGCGCACCCGAGAGGCCTCGGAGACGATGCTCACACCTTTTTCCAGTTCTACTCTCAGTGCGATTCGGGGGTCAGATCCGTGGCGGCCGACCAGATTCCCGATCTCCACAAGGCTGACTACTACGGCATTGGCACCGGACGTCACATCTACCTCAAGCGTTCAAGGTGACCTGCTGCATGCACGAACTTCTGTGTACAGGGCTGAATATGGGGACCCTAATTGAAGCACCCCATTTTCAGCCAAGAATCTCTGACCCGTTGCGGACAGTCGCCGTATTAGGTTGAAGCGCCGCGCGTGCCTCAGAGCCGGTGCAGATTTGACACTATCTTGTATAGATGCTGAAAGGCAGAAAATTTGACCCGTGGTGGACAGTCGCCGTACTAGGCTGAAAAGCCACGCGGGTTCTATAGCTCAGAGCGGGTGCAGATTCGACGCAAGTTTGCACAGATTCTGAAAAGCTGCCAGAACTCGTGACTCGCGATGGGGGTCCAACCGGGCTTTCAGCCATTCTTCCAAGTTCAGAAGCGGAGATTCAGAACTGGCCTTTCTACATCGTTTGCACTTGATTATTCAGCGAGTCTAGTCGCCGCAACAGGTTGAAGAGCCCCAGACGCAAAACAGCAGAGGGCCGGTGACATTGTGCTACATAGCACAAGTGCTTGTGCGCAGACTTTTCACACGTGGACTGGGTTGCGGCTTCTGTCCGTAGGCATGTCTATGAGGATGCCAAGCATTTCGTTGGCGAATTGCGGCTTTGGAGGCCGCGGGGCTTCTATCTTTGGAGCTCGGTGTGCATGTGCTCGCTTCAGCTCGCTTCTTCCGCCTGAGTGGGCGGTAGCAAAAGCTCCGAGGAGGCTCGAATGCCGCTGCAGGGTCTTAAGCCCCAAAACCATAGGGTCCACAAGACCGGAAAGCTCAGAGCTCCTCGTAAATTACAATAAGCAGGGTTGCTTGTAGGGTTCTACTGATTTTGGGGTTTAATATGTTCAAGGCTTATAGAGTTTATGGTAGCTGGTAGCATAGCCCATATGAGGGGGACTTCTGACCCCAGTCATCTCTTTGCTGCTGCTGCTGCTGCTGTCAGCCAGCCTTCTTTTCTTCTTCCATTGCTTCGTGCTCTGCGCCGCCTCTTCGAAAGCGCTGGCTCCTAATCTGTCTGTCTGGACTGCACCGTAGATTTTATCTGCGCATGCATTCGTGACGGGCATGGAAGTGTGAAGTAGTTCGAGCAATATGTCACAGGCACACCTGGCTTACGAGCCTTGTGTGGCCGCTCTTGCAAGCAGACTTTCCTCTGTCCGGTTCCCACGCCTCACCCGTAGCCCTGCTTCGGCAGGATTGCGGCCCTTATATCTCCAGGATTCTTTGATCTGGCCTATGCGCTGGGTCTCCTCCTCACTGCCAGTTCTCATGCAGACCGCAATGCCACTAAGAGACGCGTCAGACGCACTAATTTTTTGAGACCAAGGTTTTGTAAGGTCGGCTACGCAGACCCGCAGAAGCTCGGCGATCCATGAGGCCTCCCGAGCGGCATTCTTCCAAAGTCTCTTTCTGCCAACACCAGCCCTCTGTATGAAATCATAGAGCCCCCGCATCGCACTAAGGAGTCCGCGTCTCAAAAGCATGAAGTGAACCGCATGCCCAACCAGAATTTGCACTGCCTTAGAAGTGACACGTCCGTTCCCTGTTGCACAGCCGACCGTAATGTTGTGCTGTAGCTGTATGTGGTCAAGGCCAGATCGAGGCATCCAAAGCTTGCTGCCGTAGCTGTAACACTGCGTGCCCTTGCAATGCAGCTCCGGGCGTTTTTCCTATCATGTCTGCTGCCCCTGGTGGTCGGGCAATGTCAGGCTCCCGAGTCCGCCCTCGGCTGTTCGGCTGAGGACTCCTTTCTTCAAGTGCGTGCACGGCAGTCCCAGGAGGCTTCCCAGGATCCGATCGAGCGAGCGCTCCCTGGATTTGTTTTGGGTATGAAATAGTTGCGTGTGGATTGTTTTGGATCAGCGCAGCAAGCCAAGGTTTCAGAACGTCGAGCTGTTGGCCTCCAAGCAAACTATGAAAAACGATGGCTTCTGGAGTTGCATAACGGGCAAGATCCGCAAGACATGTCCAGATGAGAGGCCCACCTTCTGGTTCACATTGCTGGATCCAAAGATGCCCCAGAAGCTCCTGCACCGGAGTGGCCCCTTCGGCCTGCTTGCCCGCACAGCCACCTGGTGGGAGCATGTGCCTGCTGGAGGAAACCTGCATTGGCAAGATGCCAACACATGTGGCAACGTGGGCCTGAGCAATCCAAAATTTGCTAGCCACCAGGCTTTCCGCGATGCAGTGCTCGGGATTCTGCGCGAAGGCGCACAGTACAAGCGCGAGTGCCCAGCAGCACCAACGCAAAAATGCCCGCCATGGCCCGAATACAGTTGCGGTGTGACAGAAGGTATGAAATACCAGGCGCACCTTTCTGTTCGAACCAAGTCCGGTCACTTGCTCCCTTGCCCGTTTTCAGTTTGCGAGGTGATGCCGGTTGAAAGGGCTTGGGTGGACCACATGGAGCTTCGCGCGATCGTCGGCAACCTCGTACAAGGACCAATGAAAATCGCCCAGCGGGCCTTTTCTAAGCTGCTAAACCATGAAGGAAGTAAGAAAAGGATTCAGGTGGGCCCCGGACAGTATGTGGCAGTCTAGCCACATTTCACTGAAAGGGTGGGGTCACTTGAAGTGCACCATGAAGCTTTACAGGCCCAAGCTCGAGAGTTTTGTAATGGTCCGGCTACGCAATAGCACGCAGAAGCATCATTGCAGTGCCCGGTTTTCACGCACTAGTCTGCCTTACACAGTCGATTCTGCTCTACTCAAGCAGAAAGTCTAAATAAATTCATCTCGTGCTTGCGTCCAACTCGAAAATACTCTTCGAGGACGTCCGTGGGACATCAAGAAGGACAAATGGGACGACGCAAAAGTCATCTACAAGTGGCAGGATGCTGGTAGCAACGTTTATGTGCAAGCTCACAAGCCGTCCGTCTGTGGGTGAACACTACTACCTTGTTTTTGCCACATCTGCCGTAGGTAGTCTTTTCCACAGTGCACAAGCTATATCCGCTGTCTGAATGCTCGTGCCAGGATCAAAAGGGTCCGTGGACGGGAAAGCAGGGGTGGCCACGTGACCCTTTCGTGGCTGGATTCTATGACTTCTATGACCAGCCAATTGGCTTCAAGCCTCCAGAAGGGCGTTTTCTTGGTCGGGCTGGGGAGCATGAGGTAACCGACAAGGATTACCTCAACTTATGCTGCACCCTCTTAATGTCCTCGAGCTCGAAAGATGAGTATGCCACCAAGCTTGCGACCTATCCACTCTACTTCCTCTGGTTCACGAAGCTGGAGAAAGACGACAAGGTGTGGAAGTGGCAGGAAAGAGGGAATTGGTAGACTGGGCCAATGTTTTTGCCATAGTTGATTGAGTTTTCTCAGTGTTTGGCTTCTTCTGTTTTGTGTGAACGACGTACGCTAGTTAGTAGTGCACGAGCAGTCGCAGTTGCAGGATGAGCAATGCAGTGACACCAGCTAGGTGGTAGTTGCAGGAGTAGTACCACTACGTAAATATCGCAGTAGTTATAATTACTCTAAGCGTGTGATGCGGATGAGTGTGTTCATGTTCACCTTTGTTCTTGTTCAAAAGCCCTGCAGTCTTTCTCCAACTCCGTGGGCAAGAAGCCCGAGTGGGCCTTCCTGAAAAAGAGCAACGTCAACATGAGTTGCAGTGTCGATACGAGCCTCAGCTTTTGCCTAGGGCGGGGCTGTCACTTCAGGTTTAACTGCAGTTCAGTAGTAGGTGCAAGGACTGCAAGGACCAGGGAGTGCAATAAACGCAGGTGCAACCGACAAACTCCGCCTCCTCCCTCCTCGAGCTCGAATTGCGATGCTCCAGTGAAGGTTACCCTCACAGGGAAGACCGGACCCGATCGCAGAGTTGCAGCCTGCGACGCAGAGACTGCAAGGAAGGAGCTCACTGAGAGATTGAAGGCTGAGAAGAAGCTACAGGACGGCGAAGAGTGCGTTCTGAACTGCGACGGATCTCAAAGGACCACCGAGAAATGCTGCTGCTTGGGTCACATAAGATTTGCGCTGGGACCAATGTCTGCCCGAAGCCTCCATGCTTTGCATACCTGCGCGTGTCCGTCTGAGGTTGCGAATTCTTTCAGGACGGCACCGAGACGGCGAACCCAAAGTTCAAAACTGATCGCCAGCCCGGGATTCCTGCGTTAATGCAGGTGTCTTGAAGATATTCGAGTTACGTGTGTTGTGTCGAACCTCGGTTTTGGAGGAAGGATTGTTTCGCCCTCCCATGCTGTGCTTCAGGATTTTGCTCCTATGTTGGAGTGCTAGCAATCATGTTGAGCTTTTGTCCGAGACAAGGGGAAGGCACGCAGGCAGAGCTCAAAGGTGACAGCAGATGGTGAGAAAGACTTTTTAACAGAAGTATAGTTCTGTCCGAAGCCGTAACTGATCGCAAGGGGCAGACGCGGACCTCGGAGAATCAGACTGAGACCGAGCTGCGTTTCGAGCTGCGCATCGAGAGCGGCATGGACAAGGACCCTAGCTAGGGCCCGTCAGCTTCAGATTTAGCGAAGACATCTCACGGGCTATGCTGGCGAGCAGGACCTTGTGGCTGCTACTGACTCGGTGGGCTGGGGCTCTGCCGCAGATCGAGATGGATTCTTGAGCCAACTGCACGACAAGGCCAGGCAGATGCTGTTAAGTAGTTTCGGGAACTAGACGCAGTTGGCGTCCCTCCGACCCGCAGGGCGTGTTCAAGGCTTCTCAGCTGAGCTCCCTGAAGGAGGAGGTGCCGGAGCGCCATGGATTGAAGAGACTGAACTAGCGATTGATCCGATTCTCTGACAGGTGCAGGCATCTCTTTGTAACAGTTACGTGGGATGTGTGTGGCTCAGCCACCAAAAGAATACAAAAGCTGCATGCGCTGAACCTTGAGCATGGCGTAGCGCCGTTGGTGGATTACGAACCTCTGTGTTGTATAGCTTACATCACACTGACCCGATGTGTATGTAGCCAGGATCTCAGCCTTCCGAATGACCAGTTGGTGAGAAGTCGCTTCCACGAAGTTCAGGCCTCCGTGGGTGATCTGCAAGAATGGCAACACATGGCAACAGTAGTAGTCAGCAATGGTACTGCAACAGTCTGAGCAGCACTAGCATCATGGCGTTGCTAGTCGTCGTAGAAGTCATCGCGGTGGTGGTAGTAACAGTGGCATTAGCGGTTGCAAAGGCGCGGTGCATGATTTTGCTGCGACATGCAGGCGAACGGATGAGTCCTTGCTGCACGCCCCCAAACCATCTCGAATCCATGAGAGGATGTTTCCTGCGTGGGAGGCTCAGCAGGAAGCCACCCGCCTCGGAGCAGGCGGGTTGACTGCAAAACCTCACAGGAAGCCCTGGAGACTCCCTTCACAAAGTTGATTTGCCACTGTGCCTTGTGTGCCTGGTGCCCCATTGTGCCTTCTAAGCCAGGCGCAAACCAGGCCGAGATCGAGGCCCGGCGTCAGCAGCTTCGACAGGAGGTGTCGCAAGACCTCGACAGGACACAGAGACTTTTTGTGCCATTATGGGACCTCTTCTGTTGTGTAGTGCCCGGCGTGTTTTTTGCAGGGCTCGGCTCGTCAAAGTGCTACCGTAGCACGGCATGTCAGCACAGAGTTTTGGCCGAGGAACCTGCTCAACTCAGCCCTGGCGGATGCCCAGAATGCAGTCCAGCAAGGCTCTGACGCGTTGCAGAGCAAGGCGAAGGAGCTGCGAGGGTGACGTGGGAAGATAGGACTCCTGTTTCGAGACTCGAGTGGACTGATAGGACCCCGTGCGGTAGCCTAGGGGAAGGGATTGGCATGAAACTGCTCTTCACGAGGGTCGAACCGGCGAACTCCAGAGTTATAGACAGTTCTGGAATCTTTCTAGCAGCTCATACCTGCTAAGCCTGTGTGCCAGCAATTAGTGTGCAATCTGGAAAAGGTGTAGGAACCATCAGCACCGAACGTATAATTTTGTTGCCCACGCTTAAAATTGACCCACGAACGGGTTGAACACATATTCTTGACTCGGCTCTTTGATTTGCTGGAATCGGTGTTCAACACATGTGGGTGGCTCAACAGTATACTGTTCATGGGGTTATGCTCTGGTTTTGGGTTGAGGTGTCGGGAGAAGGGACCGCAGTTCGGAACTCGATTTTTCAAGGCGTGGCCACTGCTTCTCGCTGCCACAACAACTGCACATGACAGAGATATCGCTCGAGAGCCCTCTGTATTCGCAGTCTGGGGCTCACGGAACGTGTCAACTGGCAAAATTTGCCAATAAAATCTTCATCGATGCTGCAGCTTTCGCTCAAAGGATTCTCGCAGAAGCCATGCTTGGTTGTTTGATCGATCATGTTGTGAACAAGGTGCCAGTACATATGTACTTTCGGCACCAAGGCGAACTTGAGCTCGGATCTCGAATGACAAATACGTGCTAAACGGCCATAACAATCAAGGAAATGGCGTCCAGCCAGGTTGATGCGATTAGCATCCTGTCTCGACAGCCAAGCTCCCCCAGAATGTAGCATTCGCATCCAATCATTGAGTGCACGACTCGACGATGCCTTCTGCTCATGCGACTTAAGTTAGGAAAAGTTGCCCACACGATCCGAAACCTTATAAAAGCCAAAAAGGAAATCTTGCCAAGAGACAATAAGACGGCTCATTTCGTCGGCATGATTTGCCAGGTTCCAGAGAGTGCTTATATGCTGGATGAAGAGGCAAAGGCTTGTTGTCAGGGCACCCTTATTCCAGCCTCCAGAAGCCTCCACGGTGGCACTTTTCCATGCCAAGGTGTCCCTCGTCAATCGCTGAACGAAATTGGTGATTCTGTTCTCCTGATTTGTGTGTGTTTCGATCATATATCTATTGACCGAAAAAGCTTGTCCATGGGCAACATCAACAAAGCGAAACATATTTATGGAGCCCAGGATCTTTGCAAAACTCGAGATAATGTGCCGAAAGCTCCTCCAGCCTCAAGTCAACCGAAGTCCCAGGGCAAAACTCTTGCAGGTGAGCCAAGCAGCTGGCTGCGTAGGTTTTGCCAATGCCGATGCTGACAGTGTGAAATACATCAACTTTGTAGAAAGTTTCCTTGCGATCCGGCTCGTGGAGCAAAACTCTGGTGAAGCAGGGCTCCTCGTCCCATGGCAGCTCAGCCCCAAAAGTAGTTGCAAATCTTGGAGTTGTAGACCTCGGCTTAAGGAACAGAGACACATCCAGAAAGTAGCTGCCAAGCTTTATGCGAGGTGGGGAGGGAGATCAACCCAATAAAATCTGAACACGATGGGGCACAGATCTTCGAAGTCGTTTTCTGGCCTTCCGGCCAGACAAAGATGGCAAATGCCTGTACAAGGTTTGCTGGCTTTTTGAGCCTTGGGCCCATTCTTGTACGATCGGTTCATGTCTGCACTGGCAGCCTGAATCAGGGTCCAATGAGCTAAACAACCCGTTCTTTTGAGGATGTATACTCACGAAAGTAGACAAAAAAACGAACATGAGCACAAGGAACCAGAAAGGACCAATCGCCTTTCAGGCCAACAGGTACGGGATGCAGCATTTGACCTGATTGAAGTTGGACCCCTTGTCGGCATGCATCATCCAACGAGGCTGTAGCCAACTCCAAATACTGCTTGTAAACATCCGGATTGTTTCGATAGTCCTCCTTTAAACCAGCCACAATCAAAAACCTGCTTTGAAAAGCATGCCCAACGAAGTTCAATAGCTGTTTGTTGTCGCCGGCCACATTGCCCACTTTGTTCTTGGAGGTGCCTCTCCCCAGTGGCGATTGAAATGATAGTACCAATGCCCCATCTCGTTTGTAAGTGGTTCCTTCATCCCCGTGCAAAAGCACTGGGAGACAGCGGCTCAAGGGAACTTGCAGATTGAAGATTTGATGTGTGGGGTGGAGCTGCTTGAAGTTGTCCCAATAAGATTCAAGCATTTTGGGCAAGTCGTCCATTGAGCAGCTCACCAGTTTACCTAGCCTGCCGGCTTTGTCTAAAGTCTGAATCCAAGATGACACAGGGATGTATGGGTGCTCGCGGTGTTGGCCAATATGTGCATAACATATCTTCACATCCAGTCGCAAACCTGCTTTGGCAAAAACCCGGGCCACCACACTCTCCTCAGGAACCAAGAATAACCGGAAACACCAACTCCGTTTACAAAAGCCTCGATCTACCCAAAAACACTGCTTATGGAAGTATATATTGAAACCTACGAAGTGCCTGCGTGCTGTCGGCTGCATAAGTGGCTCAATGAACATTACATTGCATGCTGAAGCACTGACTTCGACTCGGGTGCATCGTAAAGCTGCAGAAGAACAGGGCACACTTGCATATTCCGTTGTTCTTCTCGATCTCGCATGTCATACTGCACGATTGTAGTAGCCTGCTGGATAATGTCAGTGCACGGAGCCTCGGAAGCAGGAATGCACCCCAGACGTGACGGTTTATAAAGGGCTCTCATAGGGACCTATGTACGGCTTAGGCTTAAGGCTCCTCTTTCACCCTCGAGAAGAATTACCATATACAAACCCATACCTCAACCTATAACAAGAACTCGTCAATGAATTCCCTCTTCGACAGATGGTTCCCCCATGGATGCGAGCCACCCCATTGGCATAGCTCCATGCCAGTCGCTGGGCAGCATCGGAAGGACCTGGCGTTTGAAAGGGTTTGCTGTTATAGTGTATGCATCGGGTGTTCGATAGCAGGCCAGCATACATCTCGGGTTTTTGTCCTGCGTCCCAGGGTTCTGTGTTGTCACACAGCGAACGGCATCCTATGGATCCTGCGGAATTAACGGGCTTTGCACTGGATTTGCATGTAGCAATGCAGCATGTGGATTCACACACCACACCAGCCGGCAAGCTTCAACACTTTAACAGCTGTACAGAAGTCGAAAGGACACAGCTTCACTTCTTCTTGCGTGGATTTTTCTTGGGCTCCGCTTGCTGGTGATCGCTCGGTCGCTTGACTCTTCTTCAGCTCCAGGAGCACCAACCTTGCAGATATCTTCAGAAGAGTTATCAAGCATTGTTTCGAACATGCATGTGTGAATGCAAACGACCAAAAGCCATTAAAACGAGAAGCTTCACCCGAGACTCCATTGCAATCAGTTCGGCACACCTTAGAATCACACGTGAGGCAGTCACATCCTGGTACAGTAGCCCCACAACAACTTCAAAAGCACATGAGGCGAGCTGCGGCTTCTTGATGGTGTCCTTGGCACTGATCACCTTCTGCAGGCACCTGGGCTGAGTTCGGGATTATAAGATTCTGCGGATGTAGGTTTTGGAATTCGGGGCTTAGCACAATGGCAATCTGAGAAGCTCGGGGGTCATCGTTTCCGATTCGCAAATCATTAGCTCGGCCTTCACTTTCGCCAGCTCATTGAAGGCATCTTGAAAGGATTTATCGATGCGGTCCAGGTCTTTCATCAGACTTAGGCAGCGAGTTCTTGAAACGTGGGCACAAACACATGCAGGAAAACTGTTTGACGGAACTTGTTAACTCTATAGCCAAAGTGTCTCCGCTTTGGCCGGGGGCAATTTAGCACCATCTTCGGAATCGGAAATCGTTTTCTGCAGCTTGGCGATCGAAGCCATGTGGCCATGCACGGAATCCATCAGCTTCACAAGGTCGGGCAGAGTCTGCAGCAATAAAAGGTTTATAAGTCAGCTGCAGGGTGTATGTTTTATCGGGTTTAAGGTTATAGGGATTGTTAATCTGAAACTTCCATGGCCTTGTCTCCCACCTGCTCTGGCTTCGGCTGTGCATTGCTTTCGTCCACCATAGCAGGTGCATCCAGGGACATCGGCATGTCGCCAGGATTTTGTTCCTCAGTAGCATAAGTGACTGCAACCCAGGTTCATGCTATCGCCGTCCCAATGCAGCTGGGCATCTCCAAGATCCATGTTCTCGATGCGTTTCAGCAGCTCGCTGTGCTTGATGGTCTGTTTTGTCGAAATCTCAACGAAGTACTCCGTTACACTGTTGTCGTACTTCCATTTCCTGTAGTCAAGCACGAAAGGGTTTATAAAGGGTTTGGGGGGTTTAGGGTTTTATAGGGCTTTGTGAGTGTATATAATATGTGTAGAGAGAGAGAGAGAGAGAGAGAGAGAGAGAGAGAGAGAGAGAGAGAGAGAGAGAGAGAGAGAGAGAGAGAGAGAGAGAGAGAGAGAGAGGAGAGAGAGAGAGAGAGAGAGAGAGAGAGAGAGAGAGAGAGAGAGAGAGAGAGAGAGAGAGAGAGAGAGAGAGAGAGAGAGAGAGAGAGAGAGAGAGAGAGAGGGGAGAGAGAGAGAGAGAGGAGGAGAGAGAGAGAGAGAGAGAGAGGGAGGGAGGGGGTTTGGCGGGTTTAGGGTTTTAGGGCTTTCGTATAGGACTTGTTGGATTTGGGGGGGTCTCGGCGCTCACAGGGTTTGAGGAGTGATGGTTTTTTTGTGATATCCTGATACATCCATGAACCAGAGCCTCGTCAAGATCTGTGGAAATCGCTCACAGAATGCAATGATCGACTTGATGGTCTGCCTTAGGTTGGGTTGCTTGCATGTGTCGCTTGCATTCAATGGTGTTGCAAGCACAAAGATCATCAAGCCTAGTAGCTTGCTGTATTCACCCGATTTGTTCATTTTTTCCTCCGTGAGCCATTCCCCGTTCGTCTCGGACTCCTTGAGCATCTGGCGTTCTCGAATCTGTGTCACCCTGACCTTGAAGGATGCCTTGGCCAAGAATCCGGAGCACAAGGAGAATCAGGCCTATGGTGTTTGGCGGCTTGGGGAGTTTCAGGCTAGGTGCTTAAGTGCTTCGAGAAGGTTATATATGAGCCTTTTCAAGGGTTTGGGTTCTGGGATCACGGGTTCGGGCTTTGCTGGAAAGCCCTCAGAATCCGAAACCATAAACCCTGAAATTCATAACTTGTGCATGCAAGCTAGGTGCCTGAACTTGCTTGTGGGCTGCCTTGCCACGTCCCAGTGCAACCGTTCCCACATCTTGCAATGCTTCTAGCAGTGCCATCTCTAGCCACTCTCGCTGTGGCCCTCCACTGGCATACTGCTCGTGAGTTTCATTGTCGACATGACACTTGTGAGATTTCTTTTTTTGCTCGCACATCCTCTTTAACCGCATTCTCAATGCATCTTGGGTCAAGACCTGAGGATCCTATATAGGGTTTCGGCTTTAGGGGTTTAGGGTTTGGGGCTTTTTAAGGATATAACACTACTATATATATATATACATACATATATATCCTAAACCCTAAACCCCTAAGCCTAAACCCCTTAACTATATTAGACATATCCTACAAGGTTTATACAGGGTGTTAGGGTTGATCAAAACAAAAGCACCAACAATTCCAAACCGAACTTGAAGCCAATTGAACCACATCTTGCCTTAAGCCCCAGTCTATCAAGCAACGATGGTGCCGTCTGGCGAGGTCACCATGACCTTGCCGATTTGATCGTCCTGTTCCTCTGGCTCCTCCTCATCCTCGTCTTCTGCGACGGCAGCTGGTGCTGGTGCTGCTGCTTGGGCTGAAGTAGCTGCAGGGCTCGCTTGGCCTTTGGATCGGATTCGGTTTTGCGGGGTTTGGCACGGCACTTGTTTCGGGGGTGCTGCTTTTGTTGCTGCAAGCTGTTGCTGCAGCTCCTTGATCTTTGCATGCAACAGCGAAACGTCGGTGCTGGCTCCAGGGATGCTTGGGTTTCTTGTTTGGCCGGGCGGTGTGCCTGCTGCTGATGGCGTGGGCGGAGATTGCTTCGGCGGGCTGGATTGCACCGGGCTTGTTTGGGCCTGCACGATTGTCGGCGGGCCAGTCTTTGCCTGCACAGGTGTCACTGGAGTGTTGGTTTGGGCCGGTGTCGGCGGGCTCTTTGCTTGGACCGGTGTCTGTGGGCTCTTTGCTTGGGCCGGTGTCTGCGGGCTCTTTGCTGGGGCCGGTGTCTGCGGGCTCTTTGTTTGGGCCGGTGTCGGTGGGCTCTTTGCTGGGGCCGGTGTCGGCGGGCTCTGAGTTTGCTGCACGGACGGTGGGCTCTTTGCTGGGGCCGGTGTCGGCGGGCTCTGAGTTTGCTGCACGGACGGTGGGTTGCTCGCTTGGGCCAGGGTCTGCACGGGTGTCTGCGGCGGGCTCTTTGCCTGTACGGGTGTTGCTGGGCTCTTGGCTTGGGCCTGCAAGGGTGTCGCTGGGCTTTTCGCTTGGGGCTGCAGATTCGGTGCTTTGGCTTCTGGAGAACCGGGTTCCGTGGTCTGGCTATCGGGGCCCTGACTTGCATCGACCTGTATAGTTGCAAACATCCGTTGGCTCGAAGGCCCTGACTTCTGCAGCTCCTCAAACAGTTTATGGGAGTTACGTAGGGATTATCATTCGGTTTAAGGCTTAGGGTGTTTAAAGGGTTAAGATATCAGCGATTCGTGCACAGCGAGAGTTGCACAGCAGACGGTAAGCTGTGCTTTTGTTTATTCAACATCCCTATACTATATACCTGCTATATACTTTCGGGTCTATATAGAGTCTATATAGGGGTCTTAATTAGGGGTGTGAAGTAGAAGTGCAAACCCCGATATCCTCGGCGGCGGTCTCAGGTGCGGCAGCGAAGGTGTCCTGCTCCAGCTGGGTGTCCTGACGAGCAAAAGGGAAGTTTAGGGTTGAAGGTCGGGTTTTTTTTGGGTTCAGGGCACACAGGGAAAGCGAATTCCTGGATGCCAGTAGATGCAGCCACCGGCTGAGCAAGCAGGGGCGGCAGCTGCTGGGTATCCTCAGCAGCAAAAGAAGCAAGGAGAGAGAAAGAGAGAGAGAGTGAGAGAGAGAGAGAGAGAGAGAGAGAGAGAGAGAGAGAGAGAGAGAGAGAGAGAGAGAGAGAGAGAGAGAGAGAGAGAGAGAGAGCGAGGTGGGAAGAGAGAGAAGGACCAGAGAAGGATACACATTTTGACGAAACCAGTGCAGTCAATACTCAGCTGCTTGTGTCTGCTGCATCTCAATTGGTTCCGCCTTAACCGGCTCATTCTTGACAGCGAGAAGGGGGCTCGGTGCTGCTGTAGCCTGGAAAGTTGGCGATCGCAATCAAATGCTTTTGTTGATTCTCTGGTCGTGCTTTGTATTGAAGCAGGCAGGACCAACAGAGGTTGAGACCTTGCATCCTTTTCTCAAGATCATCTTGCACTCCTGACCAGGGTTGATTCGTGTATATTACAGGAATCTCAGCAAGATTTCGGGCTAGGATGTAGAGCAGCAAAGCAGTCCTGAATGGCCTGCAGCAGTGCTTCTCTTGATAGAAAGGAGGTGTCTAGGGCAAACTCCAAACCCGCCAGATCAGCGGTTGCCTTTGCCCCCTTGACCAAGTCTTCTACAGACATCTTGGCGGCCCAGGCATCGGAAGTGGAAGCCATGTGCAGGCTATCGAAGCACCCCAGATGCAAAATGCAGGGGTGTTAAAGAAAAGCTTGGGTTGCACACACACATACACACACACAAGGCATGGCGAAACTTTCGGTGCAGCAGTGATCGTGCCACAGTGCAAGCGAGGTCTCAGTGAGGCACAATATTGGATACCTTTTTGAGCAGCACTGCAATTCTCTCTTTAGCACCGAGCACAAAGCTCGACACACACTGTGTTGTGCCAGGGCTTCGGTTCTTTGAGGTCCTTATAGGGTTTAGGGTTCGGGGGGGGTCAAGATTTATTTAAGGGGTTCGGGTTTGAGAAGGCGTGGGTTCTTTTGGGACCTATATGATTTATAAAACCTTTAGAGGGTTCAAGGTTTGTGAGGTTGTTCTGGATAACCACGGAGCACAACACAGTCTGTTTTGTGTGTTCTTTTCGGAGCTAGGGGTTTAGGGCCTTGGGGCTTAAGGTTTCGGGCCTTGAGGGTCTGCAAGGTTTTGCTGTAGCTCGTGGACCCAAGCACCGGTCCATGTCGGGTCTAGGGATCGATGGGCTTTAATATATAAATAATATAATATAATATAATATAATATAATATGATATAATATAACATAAGATAAGATAAGATAAGATATTATAATAAATAATATAATATAATATAATATAATATAATATAATATAATATAATATACTATAATATAATATATATATATATATGTGTATATATACATATATGTTTTACATGTGTATATACATAAATGTTTGTATGTGTATATGTGTGTATTATATATATACCATATATGATAAACTGTGTGTGTATGTATGTATGTATATATATATATATGTGTGTGTGTGATATAAATATGTATATATATATATATATGTGTGTGTGTGTGTTTCATATATGTATATGTATATGTGCATAATAGGGGACACGGTGTGTGTGTGTGTGTGTGTGTTTGTGTGTCTGTATTTAGAATGCTCACCAGCGGCAATATTTGCTCATAATGGACACAGCAGTCCCAGCCCCGCCCCGGAACAGCAGAGGTTTGTGTCTGGCTGCCTAGGAAAACTGAACTAGATTGACTGGGGCAGCCCAAGTTGGCCCGAAATGCCCTCAAAACTGGGCCCAAACTGGGCTCATGGGGAGAACGTATTCCACGCTTTTTTAACGCATTTGGCGAACGCATCCGAACGCATACCGAACGCATTTTGAACGCTTTTTGAACGCATTCTGAACGCATACGCTTTTAACGCTTCCAACGAGTATGCATTTGATGCATTTAACGCATTTCGCCAACGCTTCCAACGGGTCGCAGAAATGCTCCAACGCTTCCAACGGGTCCGAACGCATTTGCAAGGCAAAGGTGACTTTGGAAGAAAAAATGCTGAAAAAAGCTTTGAGAAAGTTTTGTTCCCCAACGAAAACCAAAAGGTAGCCTCCCCCTGCTGCCCTTCTCTCCTATTCGGCTCCAAAGCCACCACACCCCAGGCCACCACACCCCACATCCCGACAATTCCAGGCCCATATTCAGCACACAGCCCAGACCAAACCCCCCTAGACCCCCCCACCCCCCCCCCGCCTGGATGCCAGCTGAAGACCGATGCGTGGCCGGACACCACAACCCCAGCCTCCCACCACACCCTCCCCACCCCCACCCATGGAGCCAGCTAAACACCCAATGCGGCAGGACACCAGAACCCCAGCCCACCACCAGCCTACCAAGCACACCCCCCAACCCCGCCCCCCCAACACCCAGCACACCCTCACCACACCTCCATACACATGTATATCACATATGCATGTGTGTATATATATATATATATATATTATATAGACAAACACATATGTATGCAGGCATGCATACAAATATATATATATATATATGTATATATATATATGTATATATATATATATATACATATACATATATACATGTATACATATACATACATACACACATATACATATATATATATATATATATGTATGTACAGTAACAATATTTGCAAACTATATAATGCTACACGATGTAAGACTTTTGTACACACATATATATATATATATAAATATATATACATGCATGTTACACCATGTAAACGATGCATGTTCTCTCTCTATATTATATATATGGGGTATGATCCACTATCACAGGATAACTATATTTGATATATATTCTATATACACACACACACACCGACATGTATGTCACATGTGTGTGTGTATATATGTATATGCATACACACACGGAAGAAGTTTCGGTACTTGGGTCCCAGTAGCAGAATATATATATATATATATATATATATATATTCAGGATTCCCACTAAAAAGCACATAACATATTTGACTCGACCCCCCCACAAACAGAACTTACCATGAAGACCTGCGTGCAAGTAGATACCGAACTTAATGCATACAAACCTTGCAGCCATACCCGATAAGCAGCAACTTGCAATCCCGAACAGAGCCCTCTAGCACTGGACAGCACCCCGGTCTTGGGTCCACCATGCAGCATCTCCTCAGGGTGTCCGTGCCGTGCAGCATCACCTGCAGAAGATGTGAGACTTGGCTTCGTGCTCCCGTCTCTTTGTCTCTCTCTCTCTCTCTCTCGCTTTCGTTCTCGTAAAAGTGCCCCGGTTTCGGCTTTCAGGGTTTGGCGATTTTCACTTTGCGGGGAGGCAACCGTTTATGCTTAATGCCGATCGATTCGAACCCTCTGACCCTCTTGGGTGTGTGAGAGTTTAGGATGTCTATGGAGGGGTCCAGGACTCATGTGCACAGCTTAAGGACATTGGGCAGCCAGGTATAAACCGTCAAGATCGAGGCATTGGTTTTAGGGTTCAAGAGATAATTTTTTCGGTGTATAGGTTTTGGGAATTTCGTGTGTAGGGTTCGGGTTTTAGGGCATTGGCATTTGTTTGTGGACCCAAAGACCAAAGACCCATTATAATATATGTACAGCCGAAGCCCCCCAACACCCTAAAGCCCCAAACTACGAAGCCGGCCTTCTGGAGAGAGAGCGAGCTCCACAAGCAGCAAGGTTCTTCGGTTCTGGGCGAGCTGTGCTCCGAAGCTTCTCTGTATCGATGTACACACTACTCCTATAGGGCTTTTACGGGCTTTAGGGTTGTCGGGTACGTAGCCGGGCTTGTGGGAGCCGAGAACATTTGCTTCTGTTGCAGCTAAAGGCTTTCTTCATATAGGGTTTATAGGGTTTATAGGGTTTTGCGGGAATTGAAAGACTTGCTTTGGCTTAATCTGGACTTGTGTGGGCTT